ACAGCCCCTATATTAAAAAATACCCAGAAGGGAAGTCGGGCCACTTGTGGTCATTACATACTGAAGAGGAAGGGAAGGAAGAGAGTTACTGGAAGCCAGAAAGGAGAAAAAAAAAAAAAAAAAAAAAACCACAGCAATTAAATCACAGGGTCTGGCTCATGAATACCTCAACAACCAATATACAAATACCTCTATCATTCAGTTAAAAGCATAGCTAGAATTTATTAGGGTGCCGGAAAATCATGATGCATTTTTGCATAGAAAAACACGACATGACTTTTCCAATGACCCAATAATTGCTGGATTAAGAAACAAATTGTTTTGGGACCAGCAGATCGCTGGACTCCCATGTAGTTGACTGTGGCTCGAGAGCCAGATCCAAGGCTTGAACCTCACGCCAGGCGCATTGTGCATGAGTGCCAAGATCTCAGGAGGAGAATGAAGGAGGGATTGCACGGGCATGCAATCCCCCTGGCGGGGTGATTTCTCACTTTCTATCTCTCTGTCTCTTTGGCAAGCACATATGCCCTATAGAAAAACTGCCATGAAAAAAATAATTATATAAAAAAGAAAGATTTAAACTTTTTTTTTAAAGGAAAGATCTGAAGAAAGTGGGAATGGGCTGTTTTGGAAAAGCTCACTGCTGAGGGAACAGATCTGCTGGAAGTGCAGGAGCAGGAGGTGCTGTGTGGGGTGGTAGAGGCAGATGTCTGGAACAAAGAAGGGTGGAGAAGAGCTCTGCAGTACTGCCTGGCAGCAAGTGATTATCTGCCAGTGAGGCGCTTCCACATGCCTTCAGCCAAGCCACACAGAAGTGCCCGCAGGGACAGGCACAGGCCACATGCAGGACCAAGTGCTCCTCGAACAAGGCTGTCTGTCCGGAGACACGGTGGAGTCTGCTCCACCAGGACCAAGCCAGGACCTCAGGTCTCTGGCAGAGAAACTGGAGAGGTTTCTGAGATGCCCAGGCCTTGATAGCTCTTACGGGAGGCCAGATGCCCCAGCCTGACAGCTGTCACAGCAGCCTGGCAGAAATTACTAAAATAAACCTTGTCCCTTTCTCCTGCTGGGCAGTCCTCCTAGCTCAACAGATCCTCCCTACATTTAACCACCACGTGGCCCAGATTTTCCAAAGCAGATAGACTGTCATTTTAAGTTTTACAATAAAGATGCTTGTTGGGGTCAATAGGCAGTGTGGTGATTAAGGCATGAACTTCCACATGGCTGACTATGGCTCAAGTCCCAGACCCAATGGCTTGAAAATCATGCCAGGTGTGTGTGTGTGTGTGTGTGCCCAAAATCCCGGAGGAGAATGGAGGAAAAGGGACTGCAGAGTGGCCATACCCCCTGGGGAAATGACTTCTCACTTTCCCTCTCAGTGTCTCTCTCCATCAAGCATACACGCCATATGGCAAAAACCTTAAATAAATACATAAATAAATAGAAATGAAGATGATTATTAAAGAAACATTGAAATGTGGCTTGACTTTTATACCTCCTGTGCCTGTGCATAAATAAAACAATTTTGAAGAGGTTTTTTTTTTTTTTTTTTTTTTGCTATAGGGCGCGTGTGCTTGCCAGAAAGACAGAGACAGACAGAAAGCAAGAAATCACCCCTGGAGGGATGAACATGCCGCTATCTCTTCTTCTCCTCCCGGGATCTTGGGCCCGCATGCACACGCGCCTGTGTGACTTTAAGTCACCGGGTCCGGGACTTGAACCGCAGTCAACTACATGGGAGTCCAGCGACATAGCCATTGCACCATTTTCTGTTCCCAATAAATTTACAAGTTAGCGGTAAAGGTGGAAGGGAACGAGTAAAGCAAGAGTGTGACGGGGAAACAACCTCTGCCACAACAGAACAGCATTCTGTTTGCTTCCTTTTTTAGACTGCCCAGAAGCAGCAGCACACCCCATGTCTCAGACCCAGTTACATCATGCCTCGGAGCCCTAAAACATGGTCACTGAGCTCTTCCACCACCATCCAACTGCCTCAGTAGGGCTTGCCCAGCCCGTTTTCTGTTCTGTGCAGATTTCTGAACCAACTGCAATCCCCTCCCCCCAGACGATTCCGCATTGCCTAGAAACCCCGTGTGCAGGCAGTAGCAAGGGCTGGAGAGATGTGCATGAGGCTCCTAATTAAATCTCTGGGTCTGGCTCACGAGTACCTCACCAGCCAAGATCTGAATACCTTTACCATTCAATTAAAAGCATAGCCAGAATTTAATTGCTGAATTAAGAAACAAATGGCTGAAATATTTTTAAAAAATTATTTTTAGAGAAAGGTCTGAAGAAAATGGGAATGGGCAAGAGAAACAATTTTCCTTGACCTTGCCATTTCCTGGTCTGAGGTAAGAACCTGGGTCCAGGACCGCAAAGTAGAGTTTTCAGCCAGATGCCAAGACACCATCGCACCAGCATAGTTCATAAAGGAGAAAGAACCTTTGTCTGGCTCCCTGCTCCTTCATGTTTCAAAATGCAAAGAAACATCTCCTTACCTGCAAGAACCCTGTTAACAGAAGAGTGAGTAGCTAAGCCAGGCTGTCCACGTTCATGAAATATCCCAGCATAAGGCAAGTACTCAGGCAGCAAAAAACGCCTGCAAGAAGAAATCACATGGGAAAACTAACTAAAGACTACCATAAAACAAAGATGACACTAGCCACCTACCCTCGCAAAATCTAGGCTAAGGGACCCACAGAACCTAAGGAATCCACAAAAGCCCAGACAGGAGTAAAATCCCCAGGATTTGTCCTTTTACAGATCTAATTGTTCTTGCGTTCCTCCTCTTCCTTTTTTTTTTTTTTCTTTTTTTTAAAGAAAGACTTTTACTGTGTGTGCGCTCACCAGAGAGACAGAGAGAGAGAGAGACAGGAAGAAAGTGGGAAATCATCCCCCAGGGAAATGACCACACTGCAATCCCTTCTCCTCCATCCTCCTCTCGGGATTTTGATCATACACACACCTATGCCCGGCATGAGTTTAAAGCCACTGGGTCCAGGACTCAAACCGTAGTCAGCAACGTGGGAGTCCAGTGACGTAACCATTACACCATCTGCTTGTCCCTGTTCCTGCCCCTCCTTCTAAAGAGAAATTACTGAAGGCTTTTATTTTTAAATAAGATGTTCCTAATGCAACCTTCCTATGTCTTTTTACTGAGGCTAAAAATTTCCCAGCAAGCCTATAGGTAGCCAAGCTGGATTGTGGGCTCGCTAGAAAATAATTCCAGATATGGACTGCCCAAAGACTAGAAAGTAGGATTCACACTAAATCCCACGCTCTCGTAAGGGCTCCCTCAATTGCTGACAACGCAGTTCTTACCTTGGGACAAAGCGTCCAAGTGAAGGTGCAGACATCCGGGCATTGCGTGGAGCTCGGTGCCTGGATCTGTCACCATTGTCCCTGGAGAAAACAAAAAGAAAACACATAAGAGAGTCAGTAAGACACAATGACCCACTAGCCCCAAAGACAAGTATTGCCCAAACTAAACTCCTAGACTTGGGTGAGGACCTCACAGAAAGCAGGCATCTGGTTGCTCACGTACTTGGGTGGCACATTAGTAAAAGGCATTCTGGGGGACCAGCAGGTGGTGTAGTGGTTAAGATGCTGGACTCCCACGTGGCTGACCATGGTACAAGTCCCAGAGCCAGCGGCTTGAAACTCATGCCAGACAAGTTTGTGTGTCCAAAATCCAAAGAGGAGACTAGAGGATAAGGGACCATGGCAGGGCCATCCCCTCTGGTGGGTGATTTCTTGCTTTCTGTCTCTCTAGTGAGTGCACATGCCTTATAGCAAAACAAACAAAACAAAACAAAGAGAAATGTGTTTTGGGAATACGGCAACTAAAAGATTTGCAAACACTTATGTGTTAAGGAAGGAGGAGAATTTTTCTTCGGTTAATGTGGACTCTGAACTTTGCAGCATCTGAAATTAAAGCCAAGTTGAGATCTCAGGATCTGCAATGGATATATATAACTTCTTTTCTACATATTAAAAGATGTAAAAAACATTTGGACTTTGGGGATTTTGAAGGAAGAAAGATTTTTCCATCTATTTCATTTGGCAAATGGTTATCTTCAAACACAACTGTTTAGGTCTCCTGTGTTGAAAAACCAGTGATAAGAAAAAAGAAAAACACCAGTCAGTCCTTTTTTTGAGAAACTGAAAAACTGATAGTAATAAAGAATATCAGAAAATACAATCCAAAGCCAAGTCATTTGAGCAAAAGAAAAGTCTAGGGGTTTCCTTTTCTTTTTTAGAGGTTTTTGCCGTAGGGCATGTGCACTTGCTGGGAAGAGAGGGACAGAGACAGAGACATGAGAGGGAAAGTGAGAAATCATCCCCAAAGGGGGATGGCCACACCATAATCCCTTGTTTTCCATTCTCCTCCCAGGATCCTGGGCACACATGCACACGTGCCTGGCCTGAGTTTCAAGTCACGAGATCTGAGACTTGAAACGTGATCAGACGTGGGAGTTCAATGAAGTAACTGCTGTGCCACTTGCTTTTGCCTTAGGGCATGTGTCCTCACCAGAGAAAGAGAGAAAGAGACAGTGAGGAACCAGCAGTTGGCATAATGGCTCTGCTTCTGGACTCTCATGTAGTCAACCGCAGTTTGAATCCCGGACCTGGTGGCTTAAATTCACACTAGGTGCATGTGCATATGTACCCAAAATCCTGAGAGGAGAATGGAGAAGGGATTGCAGTGTGGCCATCCTTCCTGGGGGGTGATTTCTCACTTTCTGTCTCTCTCCATCTTTCTGGTGAGCACACGCGCCCTATAGCAAAAACCTCTCAAAAAAAAAAAAAAAAAAAAAAAAAAAAAAAACAAAAAAAAAAAAAAAAAAAAAAAAAAGAGAGACAGTGAGAAATGACTTCCAGAGGGATGGTCACGCCAGCCTCTATTCTCCTCCCAGAAGAGAGGCGTGATTTTCAAGCCACCAGTTCAGGACTCAAACTGTAGTCAGCCACGTGGGAGTTCAGCAACGTAACTGCTACGCCATCTGCTGGCCCTCTAGGTGTCTTCTTTATGGGCTATTTAAGCAATAGCAATAATCAACACTTAAGTGTTTACTAAGTTCTGATACAAGGGGTATTAAAATCTTATCCTATTTAATCCTTTAGCTATCCCAGTGAAGTACTAGGTCACCAGAAAAGTCATTACACATTTTTGCGCAGAAACACATAGAAAAATACATCACGACTTCTGACTACCCGATATTATCAGTTCTGTTTTAAAGATAAGAAAACTAAAGACCAAAAAGGCCAATACCCAAGGTCACACAGCAAGTACGTGGTTGAGGCAGCATTCAGAAAGGATCTGACTTTGAAACCCTAGCTCTTTCCACTCCACTCTACCGCTTCCTGCGAGAAAAGGGAGAGGAAAGGGACTTCGCGTGGCTTAGCTTCCAACACATCAAAGGAACAATAAGCCGAAGGGCGCTGGCTGGACAGGGCACTTAATCAGCTGCTTAGTCAACAAACAAATGAACCTCTGAGAGCTTGATTTGGGACAGTTTCTGAATTTTCCCTTTGGACTGTCTTCAAATCAATGAGATAATCTTCGAACTGGCCCTGGAACCAAAGTTAAGGCAACACTTTGACTTTAAGGTAGACCTCTGGGAGTTTCATAAGCCAGAATCAAAAAGCCAATGAAGATTTTTATATCCGTAGAATTGGTTGCTGACAGTAAGAGACAAATCAATATCAGGGATATTGGAAGTTGATCCATTAAAAGTCAGTACGTGCTTTTTATTTTCCCAAAAGAAAAAGCACATATTGTTTTTCTTAACATATCATATTTCTTTGACTTAAAATCTGGTAGATAAAAGCAGGGACAAGTTGAGGGAAAGAAGGATAAGACTTTAGAGAAAATTAAAAAGGGGATTAAAAAGAATGAGATCAGAAGTTAGTAACCAGTTAGTGGAGAGTCCCAGAGTTATTTGCGTGTACACAAAGGAGCAGCCGAATATCAAACAAACTAGCTTCCAAATTAATGTGCTACTTTTCAGATACATGTAGATTCCAGCTATAGTCCGTTAGAATGCCAACTCATTTAAAAGTACAATTGAATTCATGATAGTTTTTCATTACTGAAAATTTTTAGTTCTTACCAGTGGATACTATAACTAATTATCACAAGAGGAGTTAGAAAATATTTTAAACTTAAAGAGGAGGACAAATGGGGAATGGAGAGCTAAGACTTAAGAAGACAGAAAGCCAAGTTAGAAGAAAGCACCATGTGGCAAATCCAGGTACTTTCCTCTGCAGCTTCCAGAGAGCTGGCCTTCCAGAGTCACAGTGCAGATAACAAGCCACACTCTACCAGAGCTGACGACGAGGGAGGACAAACCAGTGCACTGGAGAGAAGTGATCAGATGCCAGGGCCCAAAGATGACCCAGCTTGGTGAAGGGACACTAGGAGACAACTTGAAAAAATGGGTAAACACTCAAGCCAGGAAAAATGCAGAAGCTTACAACATACATCTCAAACCTCTTCACGAAGATATTAAAGCAATTATCTTCTTTTTAATTCAGTTTCTACCTCCATTTAAAAGAAAAGAGAGAGCAAGGGCCAGTCCCACAGACTGATGGTTAAGGGCACTAGATCTCACATGGCCAACCACATGGTTCAAAGCCTGGCCTTAAAAAAACATGCTGGGCAAGTACACAGGTTTGCCCCAAATCCTGAAAGATGGAGAAATGGAGGAGAGGGGATTGTGGCATGACCACACCCCACCACGTGTGTGTGGTGCCCCTTACCCCCACACCGGCCTGTGAATGCACACATCCTCTGGCAAAATAAAATTTAAGAGTAAATTAAAGAGAGAGGGTGAAAACATTTAGAAATTAAAAAATTAGTACTGACCCTATAGCCGTGGCCAAGGGAACCAGATCCCATATGGCCACGGTTTGAATCCTGGCCCCAGCAGTTTGAAAAATACACCTAGTGTGTGCTCATGCATGCCCGAAATGTCATTAAGATGGTGAAATAGGGACCAGCAGATGGTGTAATAACTACGCCTCTGGACTCCCATGTAGTCAACCGTAGTTCGAGTCCTGGACCTGGTAGCTTAAACTCACGCTGGGCACATGTGTGCCCCAAGATCCTGAAAGGAGAAAGAAGGAATTGCGGCGTGGCCATCACCCGGAGGTGATTTCTGTCTCTCTCTTTTTGGCAAGCACATGTGCCCCATAGCAAAAACCTCACAAAAAGGGGGGGAGGGGCTGGCAGGTGGCTTGGTGGTTAAGGGTGCTGGACTCCCACATGGTTGACTATGGTTCAAGTCCTGGACCTGACAGCTTGCTTGCTCGCTCTCTCTCTCTCTCCCCCCCTCTCTGGTCAAACTGAAATAAATAATGAATAAATAAAGCTAAATAAAATAATTTTTCAAAAAAGAAATAGAAAAGGGATTGCAGCATGCCACACACATGGGAGTTGGGGAGCTTTTTCCTCTCCCTCTCTCGTTCTCTCTGGTGAATACATGTACCCATTTGGCAACTTAAAAATAATGGTACAAAGGGATGGAGATAAGATGAATTTTATGTTGTATGTATTTCACCACAATACAAAAATTTGAGGATAAATGGGAGGAAAGAGTTCTGAAATATGACCAAAGATCATGGCTATATAGTGATTAAAGATTATCAGAGGATACATAAAGAAAAATAAGAGTGAAATCAGCTGGCTTAGAAATAAGCAGTCTCAGACTGAAGGTCGCACCAAAAACCATTAAAGAACACTCACTTGCGCTCTCTCTTTTATATAAAACGCCAGGGGGCACATGCATGAGAGAGAGAGAAGACGTGTGTGCACGCACCCCTCACCAGGGCCTGGTCACACCACTATCCTTTTTCCAGTTCTCCATGTGTCAGGATCTTGGGTGTATAGGCACACATGTACATTCACCTGGGTGCTTTTCTTTCTATTTTTAAAATAATTACTTTATTTAACTTTATTTACTTATTTTAATTTCACCAGAGAGGGAGAGGGAGAGAGAGAGAGAGAAGGGGGGAGAATGTGAGAAAGTAAGCTGCCAGATCCAGAACTTGAACCACGGTCCACCATTTGGGAGTCCAGCACCTTAACCACCACGCCACCTGCCGGCCCCTGCACCTGAGTGCTTTTCAAGCAGCCAGAGCCAGGCTGCAAATTCTGGTCAGTCCTATAGGATCTGACTTCCCTACAGGACTTGACTGCTGCATTACAGGGTCAGTGCAAGGCAACACTATAACCTCTGTGCCTCTCTGAACTCTCAGAGGGGTATACGTGTTAGTCTTCCGCCTAATTAACATCTTGGCTAAGGATGAGAACACAGGAATTAAACCGCGTCTCAATAAAACAAATTTCAAAATTTTGTATTCTAATAAATGAATTTTTTTTAAAGTGTTGAAAACTCTAA